CTCTCTTTCTCTTCTCTTCTTGTTGTTTATCTTGATAAAATATTTTTAAAACATTTTGAATGCTTTACAGTTGAGTTTGTTGATCAAGTTACTTGCTTTACGGTTTCTTCATAACAAAATAATGAATTTTTAATATGATATATATATATATATATATATATATATATATATATATATATATATATATATATATATATATATACACACACACACACCTAGAGTAAGGTAATATAAATACCTAGATATTTATACTAGGTAAATACCTAGAGTAAAGTAAAGGTATTAGATTTTATACAATTTGTTGTAAAAAACGGCTCTTGGCTTCTTTGTGGCATTAAAGCTGATAAAATTAAGGTTATGTCAAAACGCATTAATTTAATTGAAGGAAGTAATTAAACCAAAAAACCACAAATTTAAAGACTAGAGTGTTTTTTAAAACAATTTCAATGTTTTTATTTTTTTTAAATAAAAACATTCTTTTTTTAGTTATGTAAATAAAAAATTTTAGTTATGTAAATAAAAATCTAAACAACCCCAAAAAAATATATCCTCTAAAAACAAATAGCAACTTTACTACTACCAATGTTGAGATCGCGGAAGTGTTTAACAAACACTTTGGAAGTGTTTTTACCATAGATGACGGAATTTTGCCTAAAATAAATACCTTTGTTAGTGAACATATTAAGATGAATTTCGTAGATTTTTCAGCAAAGATAGTTTATCAAAAACTTAAAAATCTAAAACCTAGCACATCATTTGGACCAGACGGTATACCAAATATACTTTTAAAACAGTTAGCACATATAATATGTATTCCGCTTTCATATATATTTGAATCAAGTTTTACGTCAAGCTCGTTACCAAAACAGTGGCTTCAAGCTACGGTTTCCCCTATTTTTAAAAAAGGATCTACTTCAGATGCTAACAATTATAGACCTATCTCTCTCACATGTACTAGCTGTCGTGTCGTGGAAAGTATTGTTAGTTCAAGTATCGCTTTATTATCTTAATATAAATAATCTAATAACACCTAATCAACACGGCTTTTTATCCAAAAGATCTACGTGCACAAATCTTCTAGAGTCAACTAATGACTGGAATAAAGCTTTAGACAGCAATTTAATTACTGACGTGGTATACATTGACTTTCAAAAAGCATTTGACTCTGTACCTCATCCAAAACTTCTGAAGAAACTTGCAATGTACGGCATAATAGATAATCTGCTTCATTGGATATCAGCATTTCTTTCTAACAGATATCAAAGAATTCTGGTTGGAAATTCACTATCTAATCCAACCTGCATCCTAAGTGGAGTTCCACAGGGTAGCGTCTTGGGTCCAACGTTATTCTTGTTATTTATTAATGATCTACCCTCTATAGTAAAAGATCTTAATTGCTCTCTAATGTTATATGCTGACGATATCAAGTTATATAGTTCATTTAAGGATGCCGATTACAGTCACGATCTTGCTGTAGCCATTTATAAAGTTTATCTCTGGTCAAAAAAATGGCAATTAAAAATAGCCAATAATAAGTGCTTTACTCATAGAATAGCACCTACTTCATTTTGTAAAGATATAAATTACAACTATCAATTAGGCGATCATAATTTAACTTGGTCTACAAACCCAAAAGATCTTGGTGTGACCATGGATTCTTATTTGAATTACAGTAATCATATTTCAAATATCGTCCGTGCATCAAACATTCGAGGATATCTAATCCTTAAATGTTTTAAAAGTCGTGATCCACGTGTTATCGTTAAAGCCTACACTACTTATATAAGACCGATCTTAGAATATTGCTCTCCGGTTTGGTCGCCAAATCGCACTAAAATGAACAATACAGTGGAAAGAGTACAAAGACGTTTTACCAAGAGAATTTCTAACCTAAATAATGTTTCATATTCAAGTAGACTTAGTATTCTTGGTTTGGAACTACTAGAAATTCGTCGCCTTAAGCAAGACATGATTACATGTTACAAAATTCTGAACAACTTAGTTTGCCTAAATAAATCAAGTTTCTTTTTATTTAACAACTATATTTACACTCAAGGACATAATTTTAAATTACACAAACTAAAATGTAAACTCGATGTCCGTAAACACTCTTTCTCACTCAGGGTTGTTAATATTTGGAATAACTTGCCGTCTGACGTCGTGAATGCCAAAAATATAAAGAGCTTCAAAATTAAAATTAACTCTATCGACTTTGAAAAATACTGTTCCGGCTAACTGGTTTTTGTTTTATAACTATAGTCTTATATATAATTGTAATATATATTTTAAATTAACTAGCATTTGTATTATGTGATTGTAGGGCACGTTGCCAGAGTCCTTCATATTTTATGGACCTGCGTGTCCTTTAGAACATGTATCACTGTTCTAATAAATTTTAATCTAATCTAATCTAATTCTGAATGTTTTTATTTATTTTTTTTTTAAATAAAAACATTCTGAATGTTTTTTTTGTTTTTTTTTATAAAAACATTCTGAATGTTTTTTTTTTATTTTTTTTAAATAAAATCATTCTGAATGTTTTTATTTTATTTTTTTTAAATAAAATCATTCTGAATGTTTTTTTTTTATTTTTTTTAAATAAAAACATTCTGAATGTTTTTATTTTATTTTATTTTTAAATAAAAACATTCTGAATGTTTTTATTTTTTATTTTTTAAATAAAAACATTTTGAATGTTTTTATTTTATTTTTTAACTGTAATACATGCGAGTAAAGTTGCTACATCAACTATCTTATGATTCCTGACTCGCAATGTCTTATAATGCCTGACTTGCAATATCTTATGTCTCAATGTCTTATGATTCCTGACTCGCAATATCTTATGATGCCTGACTCGCAACAGAGTGCTGCTACATCGACTGAAGGTTTGGTTTGGCCAGGTAGTCTATCATTTAAGAAAATTTTTTTTTTTTTGAAGTTTGAAAACTTTTTCTGGTCTGGTTTATTAACGCTCTCTTCAAAACTACAGTTTATGGGAAAAACTTTCTGACTACCATGCAAGACTGTATATGTATATGTATATATATATATATATATATATATATATATATATATATATATATATATATATATATATATATATATATATATATATTGGCTTTATCGAGAATGGTGGGCTATAGCCCACCCCTGCCTCTACGCCTGTGTAAATCAATTAACACGGGGAAAATAAAGCCTGCACAAAATGTAAACTTTTTGTTTTTTATTTAGTTTTTTTTTTAAAAAGATACCACATATATTTATTAATTCACATACATGGTGTAATTTCAACAGGGATGACAAACTTCAAGTTTTAAACTGTTTTGTTTTTTTAATTAAAAGTTAAAAAAATTAGGTTTAGCAAGTGCTAATTAGTATGTTAAAAATAGTTGGCACGCGATGCCAAAAAAATGAATATGTTCAAGTTTTCACTCGAGAGTAAAAAAACAAGTCAAAGCAAAAACATTGAACAAAGAAAACTCATCAAGTGAAACTCGTACAAATAGCTCCGAGCGAAAAAAAGATTGCAGTGTAGTTTTGAAAAACTATCATTTATTTTTACAAGTATCTAACTCATTTATTAAAAGTTTAATTCCATAAGTCTTTTATAAAAATTTGTTGCTCTCCCACTTGTTGTTATAAGACTTGTCAAAATTTTTATATTCGATGACATTTTATTCATAAAGAAGAGAAATTAATTAACTTTTATAATCTAGAAGTATGATCGGGTCTGTTCTATACATTACAGATTTCAAAGCAAAATAAGATGCATATAAAACAATTTTTTTTCAGATTAAACAATGAGATCATATATATTATATAAATAGGTTAAAACATGTGTTTAATTAGTTTAAATTCTCATAGAGAGAATTTTAGGTGGATGCTGCTTTTTTAAGCTTCAATCTGTGGTTTGTGTTAGTCTCTGTGATGGCATAGCACTTCAATATTTTTTTTTAACTTTTTATGTACAGCCTTGGATGTTTTTTCTGAAAAAGTCCAAAAGGTTTCTGATTTCTATTAAGAAAATCTACTTGGTGATATTTAATAATATGTAACTTCCAACCAATTGATAAAGTTTTGTCAAACAATTCTTTATATTAGTATTCTAAATATTCAGCAGATTCAATAAACTGCAATAAAACATTACTGTATGTAGATTTTATCAGCATGCCAAAACAACTTATTTCAAATAAAACATTTTTACTGTTATATATATTTTTGTAGCTCTTGAAATGCTCTAAGTGTACAATCAAGCATTTACTACACTAGAAATCTCTTTTGGTAAGAAAAACTAAAATGATTGTGGAAAGAGTATCTAGACAGAATTTTTTTTTTTTTTTTTTTTTGACATATTTATTTCTTCAATATTTAGTCCATCCTCCTATAATAGTTAATACTTCATTAATTCTCTTAGGCATTGACTCAACCAAGCTGTTACACCTTTTTATATCTATAGAATTACAGCATTTTCTGAGTGCTTTCTCAATATTGTCTTTTTTCGTCAATATAAGCTTACTAATTTTTTTTCTTTTCATAGGTTTTCTATAGGATTGTGCTGGCTGATCTAGAAGGGACACTTAGGATTTTATTTTCAACACATTCCAGCTCGTACATATTAATAGAATCTTACAGATTAATAGAATCATACATATTAATAGAATCTTAAGAAAAACCTCATGTCTTATAAAATTCAACCTAAACTCTTAAAATCAAGCAGGTTCATTTTATAAATGTTTGTATATGGTTTTATCTACTAGTATGGTGTTTACTTTTCCAACTTTTCTGTTTAGGATTCAAGTTAGTTATGTTGGAGGTGATGTACTGTTGCTAGATATATATTTGTAGAATGTCTTTTAATATTCTGATATTACTTAAAGTTATTTCTCACAGCCGCTATTTTTTTTTTAAATATTTAAATATAAATTAACATAAATATAAAGTATTATTATTAACTATTAACGCGTCTATTTACATTTATTTATTCTAAAATTTTTATTTAGATTGTGATTCCGTCTGAACAATTGTTTACTGGTGCAGAAGTAAATAAAAATGTCCAGTAAGTACTGATATACACTAATAGCATAAATATATTATTAACTACTTGAACCTGATGTTAAAATCAAACAATTTTATCACTTAAATTTTACTCTTTAAAGTTTCCATTGTTTGTTGTTTTCCGTTGTTCCAGTCTTTGAACTTTCCTTCGGTTTAAATTTATCTTCTGCAATATTCACCAGACTTGCTTTTTGTAAGAATAATTTGAGTTCAGCTAATAATTTTATCTAAGGAGAAAATTTTTAAAAATTTAATTATCAAATTTGAGTCATTTTATTCAAAACATCCTATCTAAAACATGTGTTTGATTTTATTACCGCTCCTAAAAATGACATAACTATTTTCAAAGAACTTTTTGTTAATCTCTTCCTGCCATTCCAGTTAAACAGGTTAACTCATTGTTAGACATCTAAACCACTAGAGCTTCTATTGTTAAATTTATTTCCCAATTTATCTTTTTCTACAGCTTGTAGTTCAGACAATATTTCTGTCATAGTTTTACAATAGTATATTTCAGAATTCTCTTTAACTTTCTATAAACTATTTAATAAGCGTTTGACTGAATCTTGTTTTTCTTTTTGCTAGAAAATGGCTTCATGGCATCCGTGGTTCCTATTTTTAAAAAGTCTGGAGAACCCTCTGACCCCTCCAACTATTGTCCAATTAGTCTTTTCTCTATTATTAGATAGGTCTTTGAATTTTTATTCAACAAGTTTCTAACATCTCATCTTGAGTGTAAGAACTTATATTTTGACAATCAATACATATCTTTGATCTTCTAGTTTAATGGCTGACTTACTAGCTGTTAAAACAAAAAGGTTTTATCTTGCATTAGACAGGGACAGTAAAGCCAAGGGTTTGTTTTTTTTTGACATGAGCTTTCAATAAAGTTTGACATGCTAGTTTTTCCATAAACTTTTTTCATAAAGTTTTTTTTTTTTTTTTCTTGAATTTTCATATATCAAATAATAGTGAGTGATGTACATAAAATGCGTAATACTTTAAAACAAGACCTAAAAAGCTAGATCAAAATTCTTATAGGTAAAAGATTTTAATTAGTATATAAATATTCGTATTCTTTTAAGTAACTTTTCATCAATTGAATCTTACCTCCTGCAATATTCACCAAACATACTTGCTCTTTGTGAGCTTAATTTGAATTTGGCTAATAATTTTATATAAAAAACAACTTTATATCAAAAATCATTAGCAGTGATTTGTTAGTTAAATGTGTTTCAGTAATATAAAAAGTTAAGTAAAGATCAAAGTTATTCAAGTCTTTTTTTTTCTTCGAGACAAGTTTTTCTTATTTTCAAGTGTATTAACTTTAATGATTCTTATATAAAGTTTATTAAAGAGAACATCGTTTTTTAAAGTTGTCACTTATAAAATTTAAAAACATTTATTTCAGCTCATTTTTGAAGTGTTAAAAACTGTGGTCAAATTGTTAAAACAAAATATTATTTGCGTGATGATAAAAAGGCTTGTTTTTGTATGCCTTCCTGACAAACCTGCTTCTCTTTGTTATTTATCATTTTCTTTCTTCTCAAGACTGCACTTTTTTAGAAGTAACTTCTGAAATTACTTCCAAAAGAAGTAATTTCTAAAGTTACTTCTAAAGTGAAAGGGGCTCGATCAAATTGATCAAGCCCTTTCACTTTACCCCTCTACCAGTATTGCTGTTATGGTCTCTCTAAATCTAAAGTTGCTTTAAATTTTTTAGGAATTTATGTGCATCAGGATGGAGATGGAATTTGCTGGAAAAGTTTGTGTAAGTTGTTATATGATATGACAAGGGTTGAATTAACGCATCGCGATTTGCGATATCTGTTAAATTATCTGGTCTTCAAAGTTTCAGTTTATGGAAAACCACGAAATTTACGGAATAGGCGAATAAACTTTAATTTGTTAGTGAAAATGTTATAAAAAACAAAACAATAAATTTATGACTACAAAAGTAATAACACTACAGTGTTGTTACTTTTATAACACTCTTTTAAGTTACATTTATAGTTTATTGTTTGATCAAACAACACATAATCAAGATATTATAAATAAAAATGATTTAGTTAAGTAATTCCAAACTTTAATTAAAGTAGTAATGCATCTAAAAAAAGTAAAATGGATATTTAAACAATGTTAAAAACCTCAGCAACTTTTATGAATACATATTTTTATAAACAGTTTAGCATTTCTAAACATCTTACTAACGGTCAGGAAAAAACGTGCGTTCGCTTTAAAATCAACCAATGAAAACACTGGTAATTTACTTCTTAGGAGAAATCTATGTTAACAGGGGAGGGGGGGGGGGGGAAGGCTAAAAACTTAAATTTTGTTTTATTATTTAATCAATTAAATCATAATAAAAGTAAAGACAAAAAAATATATTTCTAAATATACTTCTTTATAACTAAAATTTATTAAATTGAACACCTCTGTTTTTAGTTTTAAGTAAATGTCAGTACTACTCTCAGGGGCGAAACTGCGGGGAGAGGGGGGGGGGGTTAGCAGACAAAAAGTGTCCTATTTTCAAACTAATTTTAGGTTGCATGGGCGATATGGGGCTCATTTTGAAAATCGTGTTATTTGTTTATAACAAGTCACTTGTTATAAACAAAAATCGTGCGGGGGGGGGGGGGGTTGCTACTGACTACTCTAATGTGCTTAATACAAAGGTAGGTGGGGGTGGGAATTTCAGTCAGGATGTATAAAATGGGAGGAGGAAATAATAAAAAAAAGCAGGAGGATTTACAATGAAAGTTTTATTATTTATCGGTTACCAATATATATTTTTTTTAATTTTAAGGCCAATTTTCACTGAATTTTTGTTTTGAGATATAGTTTTTTGTTTATAACAAGTGACTTGTTATAAACAAATAACACGATTTTCAAAATGAGCCCCATATCGCCCATGCAACCTAAAATTAGTTTGAAAATAGGACACTTTTTGTCTGCTAACCCCCCCCCCTCTCCCCGCAGTTTCGCCCCTGAGAGTAGTACTGACATTTACTTAAAACTAAAAACAGAGGTGTTCAATTTAATAAATTTTAGTTATAAAGAAGTATATTTAGAAATATATTTTTTTGTCTTTACTTTTATTATGATTTAATTGATTAAATAATAAAACAAAATTTAAGTTTTTAGCCTTCCCCCCCCCCCCCCTCCACTGTTAACATAGATTTCTCCTAAGAAGTAAATTACCAGTGTTTTCATTGGCTGATTTTAAAGTGAACGCACGTTTTTTCCTGACCGTTAGTAAGATGTTTAGAAATGCTAAACTGTTTATAAAAATATGTATTCATAAAAGTTGCTGAGGTTTTTAACATTGTTTAAATATCCATTTTACTTTTTTTAGATGCATTACTACTTTAATTAAAGTTTGGAATTACTTAACTAAATCATTTTTATTTATAATATCTTGATTATGTGTTGTTTGATCAAACAATAAACTATAAATGTAACTTAAAAGAGTGTTATAAAAGTAACAACACTGTAGTGTTATTACTTTTGTAGTCATAAATTTATTGTTTTGTTTTTTATAACATTTTCACTAACAAATTAAAGTTTATTCGCCTATTCCGTAAATTTCGTGGTTTTCCATAAACTGAAACTTTGAAGACCAGATAATTTAACAGATATCGCAAATCGCGATGCGTTAATTCAACCCTTGTATGATATATGATATACTTCATATATACTTCAATTACCACCATTTTTTGTAATTTATCCTCATTTGAGACTGGTAAAAAAATTTAGAGTAATTCAGATAATTAGTAAACAATAAAAAAAGCTTTTAGACTACTCTCAAGTCTTTAATACAAGGGGAGGGGAATTTAATAAACGGAGGTGGGGTTAATAAAAAGGAGGGGGGAATTTTTACAATGAATGTTACAATATAAGCATTTTTTAAAAAATTCAGTTTTTAAATTCAAACTAATATTTTTTACAAAATACACATAAAACTATTTAAATTTAGTGTGGCTTGTGGTCAAATACGCATTTTCTAACAGCTGTTTTATAGTAATTTCAATAGGACTTAAAAAGTTTTATACTTTGGTGAGAAATAAATTAAAAGTTCATTTTCGATAAATTTGGATTTACTTGGTTTGTGATTTTTAAGGCCTGTTTACACTGAAAAATATTTACTTTTATTAGTGACTGTAATGAATATTTTCTAAGTTTTAAGGCTGATAATATTTTTTTTTTTTTTTTTTTTTTTTTTAGATAGCAAGTAAAAATTAATAAAGGTGGGGGAGGGGAATTTTCCAAAAATTATTAAACGTCACCCCAGAATCCCATATTTTTGGAAAAAAAGTCAACTTTTTTTTCTTTCATCCATAGGCCCCAAAAATTAGTATATAAATTAATTGAATGATTATAATTTAAATAAGCATTGTTTTTTGGTGTGGTTGCCAAGGCAACCCCATTTGCATAGCAACACTTATTTATGCTTAGTTCCTAAGGGTTATTTTTAGCCAAATATTTCTAAAATTGGTATGCAAATTAATTTGATGATTCTAATAGGATTGAGCATAACTAATTGTTTTAATTTACAGTCACACTTTCATATAGGTACAGACATTTCCAAAATTATAAAGATACAAAAGATACATTTATAAACTAATATCATCTGTGGATGACCTCAATAAGTCAATAACTCCAGAGATGCAATAAATGGATCAGATGTACACAGAAGTCGATTTAACAAATCTTGATTAGTTTTCAAACGAGATGATTTTCTTGCAAAATGTTCACGATAGTTTTTAAAGTCTTTATTGCGTGCTTCTTGAGCTTCTTCAGAATACATACCATTGGGTAATGCTAAACTTTTGATAATTTCAGAACCATGGACTAAAATTTTGTAAAGAGATTCTGGCATATAGTACCAAGGATAATGATGAACATTAAGTCGAGCTGTTTTTAAACAGAAAGCCTCAAATAAATCAGTGTCAATATCTAAACCACATGAAATTGTTGCCAATATAATATGCACATTTAAAATCAGTTCAACATCAATATTTCTCTAAACTTTTCCGCATTTTGAAATGCTCTTCGAGCTGTATTTTCATCATTTGATGTTCCACTACCACCAGATTTCGGAACATCAGCTATCAAGCCCATTTCATCTTTAAATCTATTTTGAATTTGTTGTTTCAGAGCCTTTACTTTAGATTTATCTTCTGCAGTTCTTGCCTACCACTTTTTCAAAGTTATTTTATATCCAATATGTAATAAACATTCAAAAATCGTATCCAAGCATGTAAGGATGATAAACCAAATGAATAACTACTACCTGCCATACCCTTTTTCAAAACCATTTTTTCAATATCATTCGTTGCTTTAGGACTTGCCCCACATAGTACAGCATTGACATGAATTTGTAACATCTGAAAGAGCAGTATGAAGTTTTCCATCAATCATAGTAATTTGTATTATATGATGTATTTTGATTTTTTTATTATTTATATCAACTTCAGTATCTTGCAAGTTTAAAATCTCAACCCTAATGAGATCCAATTCTGATTTAGAAACTGCTGCTGTTTCTTTTTCAAATTTAAAACACAGAGGTCTACAGTACATTGTTGATGATGGTCATGGATTTCGCCAAGCTGGGTACTGTTTTCCATTTGAAAAACCACACAAGTTCAATGGCACTAGGCAAGTAATAAAAAGTGCCTGCTCATTGTTTAAATTTCTTATTACTGTTCCTTGCGATATTTGTTTATATATAGACTGTCCTGTGGCACCATCAAAGCCTATTTTGTATCTCAGAGAAAGTCTATCTGGAGTGCCTTCAGTGCTAAGGACATCATACTGTGCCTTGCATATTCTATTTGCTATATGATCGACCAAAGCTTGCAGTTTTATTTCAGCTGAAAAGTCTGAGACAGATATATCTGCAGGATAGCATAATAGCTTTGCATCCCAAACATCATTATATGGAGGATATATATCAACTCCCATTTCAACTGCTTGATTTCGAATAATTTGGTAGGAAGCTTTTGTCAATCTAGCATCTAAAAGAAGACAAAGAGCTTCATCTTAAGACATTCTACAATCTTTTTCTTAGGTTTTTTCAGTTTGGTTTTCTTTTCTCCATTTTATTTCTGAAGCAAATTGTAACGCAGAAGCAGAATACATTTCAGTTAAGTGACTAACTTTATGTTTTTTGGTTTTAGTAGAGTAGTCATCAAATTTGTCTTATTTGGTCTTCCAATAGGTATTGGTGTTACATTTAAATTTTCAGGAACATAGCTTTGCAGCCATTTTTTGTTCTTTTCTTCAAATCGAGTCATGCTGCAATATGACTTGCGCCACTTATCTCGTAGATGCCTTATTATAGTTCCTAATTGCTGCTTGTTGCAATCCAAATTCATAGCATCAATAAGTTTGTCCGCAATGCCAGAGTCAGATATTTGTAGATTATTAGGCTTATGCATAATGAATGCATAGATATCAAAATATTTCATTTTCAGCCTACAAATACAAAAAATATACTATTTATGAGACATTTGGAGATAAAACAAACTCCAAATATTTATATGTTTAATTTAATGTATAAAAATATGATTTGCTAAAAAATTGCGATGATTGGAACCTGGAAACACAAAGAAAAGCCAGAATGTTGGCCCCCCTGCCCCAAAGATGAAACGTAAAAATTATTGATAGAGATGCAGCTGACACCCGCCGACAATAGGTAAAATATATATCGATAATGTACATATTGGGCAAGATATTTTATGTCTCAAATTTCTGGAGCACCTTGGAGCTCAAAAGTATTTCATTATTTAAGTGAAATTTTCACTAAAAAAAGTGCTTTAAATACGCCATCATTAGAAATCAATTTATTTGATTTAGCTTACGTGTAAAATAATTTTGCAATAGCTCATTTGATAGATAATACTTAGTTTTATTTAATTATTAAATAAAAAAATGAAGTTTTAATAATTAATACCAATTTTATGCTTATTACTAACACGAAAAATATTATTAAATTAAAAAACAACAAAAAAAAAAAACTTGAAAAAAAATACCTTTTTTATTAACAGCTTAAAATGCAAACGGCATGATAGTTATACATAAATATATACATTTTATAAAAGCCGGATGTTTAAGCTATAAAATGGTATATAACAATGTCATTTTTGAGAATATTTTTTTTATACTTTTTTCCACCACCTGGCCCACTGTGCCCACCCTCCTGTGTATTAGGAACTCAAGAGTATGTTGATTATCTGTCCTTTGGCACCACAGTCACAAATAACGGTTGGCTAAAACGAGTCTGTATTCTTATTGAGCAGTGAAGAAGAAAAGCTTTGAATTTGATGGCTTGTTGTCATGTTTATGAATTACATATAAAGGTAAATATTGAAAAAGCTAAATATAAACAAAATATCATTAATTTTTTTTTGTTTTTTTGTTTAATATATATCTGTTATTTTTATATATCTGTCAACAGCTTGGAAAAGCACAGATTTGTCAACTGGAAAGAAGCACTCGCAGCAGCCCAAACCAACCAGGCAAAAGCTGCAACATACACTGCTTCTACACTAACCCCACATCTCTACATCTTAATAAACTCATCAAACTCACCTTGGAAATGCCCCACTACACTTTTGACATAATTTTTACCACTGAAACTTGGTTTGATGAATCCTCAGCACCTACTCTTCCGAACTACAACATCTATAGAAAGATTGCTTTGGTCATGAAGGTGTAGCCATTTATGTTAAGAGCAGTATTAGCGCAAACGAAATTGATCATTCTCAATTACACAACAATTTTCCATGCAAAATCTCGGAGCAGCTTTGACTCATGGCCTTCTTTATACTAACAGGCCGTGTAAACGGACAATTTGTGCAACAAACTGGGGGCCAGTGTTAAGCAAAAGTTAAAGCGAGAAGTTAAATATAGATTCTAAAATATATATAACTGAAGACTTTTTTTCAAAGTGTTTCGGTTACCAACTGATAAAGAAGAATGTGCTTGATGGATTTCTATAATACCACGGGATAATATACCTGATAGTAACAATACTGTTGTATGTGAACGTCATTTTCCACCCAATTATATAACAATAATTAAGCATGGTAAAAAAAGACCTCGTGACCCACCTTCACCATTTTCTTGTATGAAACCAAGTCTTGTTCCTATAAAACCTAGTCCATCTCGAACAAATAAAACTTTGTCTGAAGTGCGCAATAAAGTTCCAGATGAACTCCATCTTTTCAATCATCAAGATAAAGTAGCCAATTTTGAGCATCTTAAAAATAAGGTTGAAACTGGCAGTTTGACTTTTTGATCCACTATATTTCGTACTTTACCAACAATACATTATGCATACAGTCTACTGATTTTGAAGAAAATACATCAATACCAAGAGTTTTGATGAAAATTAAGAATGATTTGACTTTTGAAGGATTTTTTTGTGGTATAAAGTATACAATCCAAAGTTTATCAAAAAATGGAGTAACCAAGTTTAAATCATATTCACAACTTGAAGAATGCTGGAGATACCTTAATACTTTAATAAAAAGCAACAAAGTTAATGTACTTCAGGAACATTTTGATGCAATGAGTCCTGTTATCGTTGGGAAAAAAAAGTATAATCCTGAAATAATTATTCGTGCTTTTGAGTATTATTCTTTACCTAGATCGCTATATGACAGACTGAGACAAGACTACCAACTTCCAAGTATTTCACTTCTTCAAAAAATTACATCAAAAATAAATTCTTCTTTTGACGATTTTAAATACGTCAGTGAGATTTTTAAAAAGGCAAAAAACAATTATGGAAAAAAATGTATTTTATTAATAGATGAAGTCTTCGTAAAACCTTCTGTTACATATTGCTCTGGGTCTTTATTAGGAAAGGCTGTAAACAAACCTGATTCATTAGCATCAACTGTTTTAAGTTTTATGATGGTTTCAATTTGTGGTGGTCCAAAATATTTATGTCGTATGTTGCCAGTATTCGAACTTAATGCTGATTTTTTATTTGAGCAGGCAAATCATTTGATTGGTTGTATTCATAAATCTGATGGAGAGTTAATCGCTATCATTTGTGATAACAATCGTATCAATCAGTCTTTTTACTCTAAGTTTACATCTAGGGAGCCATGGAAAACAGAAAGTAATATATTTTTACTTTATGACTTTGCTCATTTAATAAAGTCAGTGCGAAACAACTGGCTAACTGAGAAAACACAAACACTAAAGTTTGAAGATGATGGTGAATTGAAATCAGCTTTGTGGTCTGATTTAAAACATTTACATGAAACTGAAAAAAGAAGTTTAGTTAAACTTTCAAAACTTAACGATGTAACGGTAGCACCAAAACCCATTGAAAGACAAAAAGTATCTACTTGTCTCCCCATATTTTGTGAAGAAACATTCGCTGCGCTCAAGTCATGTTCTAACATAGGTAAATCAGATAGTACCATACGATTTATTGAAATTATATTAAAGTTTTAGAAAATTGTAAATGTTAAAGGACCATATGCAGACTTACGTTTTCGCGATGATGATAGAGCTGTTATATCTTCAGAAAATGATGAAAGAATAACTTTTTTGAGCAAAATTGCTTGTATAGCGCAGAAAATGACCAGTAGTCAAGGACAAAGACAGTGTCAGCTCACATGTGATACAGGGACAGAACTTTGGTATACATGTTCAGGAATGATTGCTCTTGTCAAGTACCTTATTAACTCTGGATTTCAATATGTGGTACTTGGTAAATTTACAACAGACCCTTTAGAAAAAATGTTTGGGAAGCTTCGACAAGGGTCTGGTGGGACTTATTTTATAAACACACAGCAAATTTTAGAAAAAGTCAGAAATTTAAGGCCGAGTTAATTTTGCAGGTGGGTATAAATATAGATGAAGTTGGAAAGAATAAAGCAGTTCATGATTGTGAAAAGTGTAAGTATTTATTAGATGGCGATTCATCAAGTGTTTTTCATAAATTACCTGATCTGGAAGAAAAGCTGGATATAAATGTTAAAAAAGCCCTAGTTTACATTTCTGGATATGTTACAAAAACTGAAACAGGCAAAGGAACAAAATTTTATTATGAAAAATATGGGGACTATGTTAAAGAGATTAATCTTGGACGTCTCAACATACCATTCGACAATGCCTGTCAATGGACCATGTTTTGTTATATCATGTTTCATCCTCTTACTGATAAAGTATGTCAAAAGTCATTATGTAATATATTTATGTCAATATCTGACTTTTATGGTTTCAGTATGAAAAAGATATCTGGAGTAGTTTGTGTAATATTTTGTTTAATAACTATTTAATAACTATTTGTTTAATAACTATTTGTTTAATAACTATTTAATAACTATTTGTTTAATAACTATTTAATAACTATTTGTTTAATAACTATTTAATAACTATTTGTTTAATAACTATAGTATTTTATATAATCCAAGATTATCAAAAGAACCAAAACAAAAACTTTTAAAGTTGTCAAAGTAAATATAATTTTTATATTTTTTCATCTTTGTATTTAATCTAATGTTTTTTTTTATGAACATATTGTTTATTAGGCTCACTTTATTTTTTCCCCCCTTTTCAAAGTGTCCGTTCCTTCTAGACTCATTTTTTCTCAATGAATCTTTAAGATTTATTCAATTAAAAATAGTTGTTTTATAAGATTTTTAAACTGATTATTTTTAATTTAAGGAAAACTCTTTTAAATTATGCATTTTATTTATTTTGTAGCAAAATTATCTTATCTAATTTGATGTTAATAAAACATTTACTTCACAGATTAAAAATATTTATTGCTAAGTAAGGCTTTATAAACTTGTTTTTTACTAAATTAATGATAAATCAGTGTTTTCCCAATCGAAAAGACTTATTGAATATGTTTAATAATTATAAGACATAAAACACCTATATTCTTCAATGGCCCCCAGTTTATCGGAAATTTTGTCTGTTTACACGGCCTGTAAGTATAAAGATGGCCATGCTTTGACTCCAAATTAAAATTCCACAAGAATCTCTCCTAATTGGCTGCATTTATTGTCCATCTACCAACAATGCTTTGGTCCTAGATGAACTAGTGAAAACTCACTTACAAAAATAGCTATGGTCAACAAAAAATTGAACAGTTTAATAATCATCGGTGATTTCAATTTCCCAGACATCAAGTAGCATGACAAATGGATCAATAACACTGGTGCTTAAACTAGTTTAGGCACAAAATTTGCCAAAATCCTATTCAAGCTACATCTACACCAGCACATTATTGATCCCACTTTCATCCAAGCCAATGGTCTATTCAAAAACACGCTAGACCTCATAATTAGTGAAGCAGCTGATTGAATAAACTACATTAATATTGTTCCTCTTCTTGGTAGCACCTCACAAGGCCACTCTGACCTGGCCACACAAGACCACTGTACTCTGATTAATACTAATTTGTCAAAAATGATTTTCATTTATAATTCATTTATAAGAAAAGAAATGCCAAACTAAGTGAGAAACTTTACTAAGTTGTTTGGGTAAATCTATTGAAAGATCAATATGCTGGTGAATGCTACCAAAACTTCTGCAACAACTTTATTGAATGCTGCCACGAATTCATTCTGGGTGCCCCCTTCCAAACTGACCAAATGCATTCAGCCTTGGCTGCCCAGCAGACTTCTCTTGTTAACCAAACTCAAAAAAAAAATTTTGTACCTCTACCCCATCAGCAAATGGCAAATTGTTCCGTCTTCTTGTTAGAGAATACAATCTCACTCGAAACCTCATTAAAAAACCTTCCTGCATTGCGATTAGAGAATTCAAACACAAAAGATCTGAACTAGATCCAGCAAATTACAGGCCAGTCTCCATCACCTCTATACCATGTAAAAAAATGGAAAAAGTGGTAAAAGACAAGATCATGGAGCCCCTTGTAGCCAACAAACTTATTGCTGATTCTCAACATGGATTCATCAATAAAAAATGTGAAAGACTATCCTCCTTATAATACGTATTTTTCCAAAACTTTAGACCCTCACAGAAGACTATTTAAAAACTTGAACAAATACATCAACAAATACGTTTTGCCATATGTTTACTCGATGAACAATTATAATGCTAACAGTAAAATTACCAGAACATAACTCGAGTAAACAACATCCGGAAAAAAACCCAATCGTTCAAATGACCAACAACTTAAAGCATGAGAATCAAGCCAAAATTCTCACAATCAAGGCCAATGTCCTTAAAATCTTAACACACACCTTCATCACTCGTGACACTAAAATATGGAAAAAGCTTTTTACGGGTCAGGGCAATAACATCCGTTTTTGCCCTGTATAATAACATCCATGAAACAACATCCAAAATTTCATCGATGTATAATAACATCCTAGCTACAACATCGCAAATTTCATTGATGTATAATAACATCCATGCATTAACATCCCAAATTTCATTGATGTATAATAACATCTGTGCAACTACATCTGTAGATTTTTCAGATGTAACTACATCCAAATTTTTTTTTTTTTTTGAATGCATAATTTTAAGCAGATGTTCTGATTTTTTTCGGATGTAACTACATCCGCCAAAAAAATATATATTATAATGCATTATTTATTCATAATAAATTTTTTTTTTAATTATTTGACTGTCTGCCCAAACCAAACCCTCAGTCAATGTAGCAACACTCCGTTGCGAGTCAGGCTATTTGTCAGTCGATGTAGCAGCACTTTTATAATATAATGATTATATATAACTACATACGGAATTTTTTTTTTTGATAATGTATAATTTTAACCAGATGTAGTTACACATCTGATTTTTTCGGATGTAACTACATCCGGGAAAAAAGTAATTTAAAAATGCATTATTTTAACCAGATGTAATTACACATCTGATTTTTTTCGGATGTAACTACGTCTGGAAATTTATTTTATTTTTTATTTTATTTTTAGCAATGCATTATTTTAGGCGAATGTATTTACACATCGAGAAAAACTCTCGGATGTAGTTACATCTTTCTAAAGATGTTATTAGACATCAATGAAATTCATCAAGAGTTGGCTAGTTTTCCTTTTTATCATTTATAAATATTTTCATTTCTTTAGTTTAACTCATAAATCTTGTAAGGAATTTTCCTTCACTGAGCCAAGTATGTATGATAAGATCATGTTTTTTATCTTTGCATTGTAAACATAGTTAGACCTGCTCTTGAAGCCAATCTTCAACCATAGTCACATTGTAGTAATGTTGTTTATCTTTCCCTTTTCTATAAATACAATATACTAATTTACTGTGACTGTTCTTAAGTGCTCCAAAAACTCTTATTCATCTAGTTTTTATCCTCGAACATCAGCTCTTTAGAGTTTGCTCCCTGAGTTTGTTTTCCTGATTCATATAATTTGCAATCTTCTAAGTTGTCTGTTAATCATTATCTTGCTTTATAAAGTTCATCTTTTCTTTTCCAGAAACTTCCAGTAAACTTCAGTAATTGTGGTTAGCGACTCTAATTACAGCTGTGTTAGCCGATAGTGGTTTGCAACTCTAAATTCCAAATTTAATTGCAAGCCTAATTGCAACAGCAAGTGAAGATGTTTTTTAAAAAAATCTTCTAACAGGGCCTTGAAAAAGAGTTGCAATAGAGTTGCTTGTTTAGAATTAATTTTTTTTTTGTATGTGTTTTTTTAACAAATATTGCCATTTTAACATTTTCATATTCAAATGACAATATTTTACAACACTGAGCTGTAAAATGGATAGGGGGCGTAATCAAACAGATGTACAGTGCCTTACCGAGCATTAGTTTGGGCGCTACTGTTTATACAAATTTTTTCCTCTCCCCAACCTCTTTGATATGGAAGCCTACATACCAGGTTTTAGTTTGGGCGCCCATACCAGTAAAACGGTATGAGATTACAGCTGGGTACAGCACTGATGTAGGACATAAAGTTTGAAAATGATTCATTCTTTTTGCAGAAGGCAATTAATCTTTTATTTTTACCAATCATTGCTGGTGTACCATTGGTGGTTATTGGAGACAACTTGTGCAAAGGCATATATAATGTTGGCATATGTTCTGGATGTATTACAAATATTTTCATCCCTTGTCTTTCCTTTCCTAGGTAATATTTGCAACATATCTTTTTTTGCTGTGAAGTTACTAAATAACATTCTAATCATAACTGTTAATTGTTGGGGATTATCTTTTTTTAGGTATTTCCTAATTTTCCAGATATCCAAATAGTTAAAGTTAAAAAATTTTTTTTTGTAACTTTTTCATCAAATAATCCGCAACACTATATTTTGTTAATTAAAAAAAAACAAAAAAGATTGAAGTCTTTAGTCAAACCAGTAATTAATTATCCCTTTTCTAATTAATTATTGCTTCTCTACCATTTAATAAGTGGAAAAGTTGGTTTTTTGATTTTAGTGAAACATTGACTAAAATTTTACGAGGAATCCAAAAATAGATATATAACTAAAAGCATAAACTTTTCAAGTATTTTATATTATGGTTGTAGTAGGAGAGAATTAGCGAGAAATAGGGTCGAACCCTGAAAAAAATGGCATAAAGCTAAAATTTTGCAGAGAGAAATTTCACAGCCTCTGGGTGAGCATAAAAAAACCCCATTGATTGCACTACAGTAAAATTCTTTTTGAGGCAAAAAAGGGTAATTTTGACAGCACCAAAATATCATAAATTATATATTGTTGGATAAAAAATGTTATGCTGATCAATATTCATATAAGCACTGTGACTTAAGAGCAATTATTATTTTTTATATAAGAACAATTATTATTTAATTTATTTACCTTTGAAATATGTTTAACCATTAAAATGCTATTTTTTTTGTTTTCAGAACATAATAACTTTAGTCTGCGCATAACTTTAAATGGGAAAAAATATGTGAAAAGTAATATATTATTTTAAAATAACTTTGAATGTAAATTTCTTTAAATGTCCAATATCTTACTTTTCTCAAAACAAACATCCAATATCTTACAAAAAAAATGTTCAATATCTTACTTTTCTCAAAACAAATCATCAAATAAATTTCTCTAATTTTCAATTTCATCACTTGAATCTTCTTCACTTTCAAAATCCTAAAAAAAACAATCATATCACAAAAACAATTAATATATTATAAGATGATTATATAATATATTTTAAAAATAAAATTTATGGTTTTCTTGCTGCAGTGTTGCTCGTGACAGCCACCACATGCATACATGTATTTTAATCCGTTTTTCCTGCAAAAACACATATTAGTTCCACACATAT